CAAAATCCAGACACAAACTGCAGGGTTGACAGTTTGTGAACCACCTGATTCTGTGTCTCCAGTCAGTTCAGGACACATACAGGAACCAGATGCAGGCCGGATGGGTAGCAGTCACAGACTGCCCCTGCCTTTGACCTGCTAAGGGGTCCGGGCGAAAGTAAAGCACGGACTCGAACTGCAGGACCAGCAGCTTCTGGAGCACTCTCTCTCTGGGCGCAGGGTATGTGGGCGCTGGGAGAGGCTACATGCCCTGCCCTCAGCCAGAGAAGTCCCTGGGGCTTCTGAGTGAGGACCTCCTCTCTGCGGCAGGTGCAGGAAGGGGAGAGACTCAGTCTGTAATGGCGACAGGGTCCTGGGTCACCCGCTGTGCCCTCAGGAAATAGATGGGAAATACCTGGCTCTCTCTGCAAGTTTTAGCTGGGAACCATGGAAGTGTGAGCAAAGCACAGACTCAAGCCACGGAACCAACAGCTCCCAGAGCACTCGCTCACTCTGCGCAGGGTGGGGCTACACACGCCCCCCCGCAACCCGAGAAGTCCCTGGGGCTTCTGAGTAAGGACCTTCTCTCTGTCGCTGGTGCAGGGAGGGCAGAGACTCAGTCTGTAATGGCAGCGGGGTCCTGGGTCGCCCGCTCTGCCCTCATAAAGTAGATGGGAAATACCTGGCTCTGTCCACAAGTTTCAGCTGGGAACTGTGGCAGTGTGAGTAAAGCACGGACTCATACCATGGGATCACCAGTTCCCAGAGCACTCGCTTACTCGGCGCTGGGAGAGCAAAAACAAATACTTTCATCCTAAAGCTTCTGTGAGTAGTTAATACCCTATAATGTAAATTTATGTCAGATGGTTAACTCTGTTACATTTTTTTTAACTTATACTGATTTTAAATTTTAGTCCCAGTATTTTTAACAGTTATTGCAAATTCAGTTTAGAAATCACATTTTAAAAAAACATTTACCTTTTTAGTACTGGGGATAGGACCCAGAGGGGCTCTACCATTGAGTTTCTTTTGTTGTTGTTGTTGTTGTTTTTTCTGGTACCGGGAATCGAGCTCACGACCTTGCTCTTGCCAGGCAGGTGCTGTGCCGCTGAGCTAAATCCCCAGCCCCAAACCATTGAGTTTTTTTCTCAGTTCTTTTTGTTTTTTAAAATTGTATTTGCTAGCCGGCCTTAAACTCCTGCTTCAGCCACACAGGTGGCTAGGATCAGAGACATGCACCACGGCACCCAGCTCATTTGCCAATTTTTTTTCCCTTTTTTCCCCAATCAGATTTTATTGGTACATTTTAGATATTCAAATGATCATATTTATCATAGAGAATTTGTGCTTGTACATGTATAACTTGTTTCTTTTTTCAAGGTGCATCCATTTATTTAACTAGAAATGTCTTGAGCTTATCCTTTATGGCAATAAAGTACTCCATTGTATAAAAAAATCCACATCTGTATCCCTTGACCAGTTGGTGAGCATTTGGGCTATTTCCAAGATTTGGCTATTATGAACTGTTCTGCTATAAACATGAGTGTGCATGTATCACTGTGGTGTGATGCTTTTCATTCTTTCAGGAAGATACCAAGAAGACTAGTTGGGTCAAATGGGACCTCCAATCCTAGTTTTTTGAGGAATCTCCACACTAATTTCCACAGTGGTTGCGCCAGTCTACAGTCCCACCAGCAGTAGAGAAGGGTTTCTTTTTCCCCACAGCCCTTCCAGCATTTGTTATTTGTTGATTTCTTGATAATAGCCATTCTTTCTGGCATGAGGTGGAATCTTAGCATTGTTTTAATTTGCATCTCTCAGATGACCAGTGATGTTGAACATTTTTTCATACATTTATTTGCCATTTGTATTTCTTCATTTAACAAGTGTCTATTCATCTCAGATGCCCATTTTTGGATTGGGTCTTTAAATTTGGAAAGTCTGTTCTTTTTTTTTTTTTTTTTGAGTTTTTTTTATATGTTCTAGGTAGTAATCCTCTGAGGAACAACTGGCAAAGTATTTTTCCCACACTGTGTTGTCTGTTCACTCTGTTGGTGGTTTCTCTTGCTATGCAAAAGCTTTCTAATAAGGTGAAATCCCAGTTGTTAATGCTTTGTGATAGTTCCTGTGTGATCGGGGTTTTGTTCATAAAATCTTTGCCTACACTGAAGTCTTCAAGAGTTCTACCTATTCTTTCAGCATTTTCTTTTTTTTTGGTCTTTTTGAGACAGGGTCTCACTGTGCAGTTAAAGCTGGCCTTGAGCTCACTTTGTAGCGCAGGCTGGCCTCGAACTCACAATGATCCTCCAGCCTCAGCCTCCCCAGCACTGGGATTACAGGTGTGTGCCACCATGCCTGATCCTCTTTCAGCAGATTTAGTGTTTCTGTTTTTAATATTTATGTCTTTGATCCATTTTGACTTTAGTGCATGGTGAGAGATATGGGTCTAATTTTAATCTTTGGCATGTGGACAGCCAGTTTTTCCAGCACCATTTATTAAAGATTGCCCATAATTTTATTTGTTTTGTTTCTTGTCTTTTTGAGACACGATCTCAATATGCAGTTCAGACTGGCCTTGTGCTCATTCTGTAGCCCAGGCTGGCCTCAAACTTGCAGTGATCCTCCTGCCTCAGCCTCCCTAGTGCTGGGATTACAGCCATGTGCCACCACCCCCAGTTTATACTTACTTTAGTGTTTATTTCTGTCTCTAACTTTTGTTTGCTTGCTTTTCAATACTGAGGATCAACCTAGGGGTTGAGATGATTGCCCAAACTGCAACCCCACCCACTTTTTATTGAAAGTTCCAACACTGCAATTAAACCTGAATACCTGTTTGGCTGCTGGGGTAACTTGTCTAGGGTGACTTGGCTCAAGTGCCGTAGGTTTGCCCCCTGACCTAGGGCCTTATGCATGCTAGGCAAGTGTTCTACAGCTGAACTATGTATAATGCCAGCCTGTTTCTGCCCTTTGTATTCATCATGTTTTAGAGATTTTTTTTTTCTCCCCACATTGTTGGTTGTAGTTATAGATCCTTCTTGTGAACATGCAGTGTTCCTTTGCAGGAATATATTGGAATTCATTTGTCCATTTTACCTTCAGTGAGCATTTGTGTAGGTTCCAGTTTTTGGCTTCTGTAAGTATAACAGAGCTACTGTGATTATTGTGATGCATGTCTTTTGATGAGCATATGTTCACAGTTCTGCAAGGGTGTACTGGGAACAGTTGACAACTGTCCTCCTAGCCAGTGCAGACAGTTCTCCAGAGTGCTCTTAGCATTTCACCCTCCACTGAAGTCTCGGTGTTCCTATGGCTCTGCACCCAGCTGGCATTTGTACCCATCATTTGGCCAGTTCGGCTGGTGTACTTTATTTACAGTTTCCTGATTCTGTGTTTACTGGTGATCATTTTTTGTTTTGTTTTGTGCTTGGGGTTTTTTTGGAGACAGAGTCTTGCTATGTACTTCAGGCTGGCCTGGCTTCACTATGTAGCCCAGGCTGGATTTGCACTCATGGCGATCCTCCTGCCTCAGCCTCCCATGTGCTGGGATTACAGGCGTGCACCACCACACCTGGCTTAATGATTGGTTTATGTTTTGTTTTTCTTTTGCTTGTGGATTTATAAAGGTGGCTTGTATGTTTTTCTACAAATCTTTAATCAGGAATATGTTTTCTGATGAAGACCAGTAGACACAGACTTAATTAAGACTTTCAGAAGATGTAGTAGTTGAAAGGGAAAAAAATTTAACTATTATTTCTGTATTTTTTTTAGCAAGGAAAGCTCTGAGTCCTCTATCCAGGATATATAATGTCAATAACATCAAGAGGGTGTTATAACCCAGAACAGTCCAAGACATGATAATACCACTTTCAAGTGAGTTTCAAATTCCAGGCCCAGGTAAATTACATTTCAGAGTACTAAGAGTTGATCACGTGGTCTCTGATTCCCTGGGGTAACTGTCATGGATCCTGGGATCTGTCTTGATCTATGGTTTTATACATGACTTGGACAAAAAATATAGGTGTACTTTTCCATTTGGAAGGGTGGCTGATGGGACAGAATAATCTGGTTCCACAGCTAGAGAGGTAAATCAAAACCAAGAGAATGGAGTTTAAGAGGCCTTAACATTGGTTTTCAAACCAGTTGTGCAGGAACCAGGCTTCACAACATTTCATGTGAGGAAGAATTGGAGGGTTTAGTTTCTCTCAAAGCTTCATTTGAACCAGCAGTTGGCATTTAAAGGAGATCAGTGTAGTCTTGGGCCATGCCTAAGGTGACTGGAGTCCAGCTCCCAGGAAACAAAGCATCATAGTCTTGAAACTTGAGTTCCTTTTATGTAGGCTATTAACAACCTGAATGAGTGACTTGGGGATGTTGGCCTGGGCCTCATTGTGACCGTGACAGGGATTTGAGGAGTTTGAGCAATTTGCATCTTCTAGGAGACCAGGCTAAAGTAGAAAAGAAGCCATTGCTCCTCTTCCAGTCTCAGGAGTCTGGGCTACCCTGTGCCTCTGCTGACTCCTGCCCTTTTCCCTCACCTCCTGTCCACACTGGCCAGACTAGCCTGTGTGGTGCCTATCCTCCCTTGCTTATGAACATTGTTGTTTGTCTCTGTGTCTCTAGGACTAGTGCAGTGCCTGATGTCACCCAAAAAGCATGTTCTAGAAGCAGGGCTAGTGAGCTTGAGAGACAGGTGTTCAGGGAACACTCATTGGCAGAGTGGCTTTTCAAGGTAGCCTGTGAGCTCTTCCCAGAATTCAGCTTTCAGGCCTGGGCTGGTTCACGTAAATGCTGCAGGAGGACCTGCAGCAGGGAAGCTAGTGTTCACGACTCCAGAGGTTTCTGTGGTGTTCAGTGATGCAGGTCACTCATATGTGAGGAGAGTGGCTGTGGCTGGGTGCACAGCATGTCTGCGTGGTTTGGGAACCTGGAGGTTCCATGTCCCCAGACTCCTTGTCCATGTCCACTGGGGACTAACTAATATGTCTTTTCATATTCCTGCTTCAGGATGCTTTGCATGTGGGATGGAAAACGGATTTCGAGTCTATAACACTGATCCACTCAAAGAAAAAGAGAAACAAGGTAAGAGGGTGATGGACATTTCCTGACTTTTCCTCTTTCCAGCCCTCCGAATCCAAACTTTATTTTGCACAGGGGATAGCTGTTTCTGAGAGATGAATAGGGTTCCAGCCCTTCACAAACCCAGGCAGACAGAGCTATGGTCTTTGTCTCTGTGAGCTCTGTGAGGTGGCTCAGTGCCAGGGAACATGGTTGGGCTGACTGGTAGTGAATAATTGGCAGGCACACCTCTCCTGTCTTTGGAGGAAGGAGTGTTTTTAAAGGCATCCCCTTCCTCTTTTTTGTTATTAGATGTGAAGCTGTAGAGAACTCAGTTGATGAGTTTAATTACAGCATGTGGGTCTCTTAACTCTTGGCAAATGAACAATAGTTAGAAAATATTATTTGAGCTGGGCATGTTGGTGCATACCTGTAACCCCAGAACTGGGAGGCTGAGGCAGGAGGATCACAAGTTCGAGCCCAGCTGGGGAAAACATGGTAATTTAGTGAGACTTTACCTCAAAATAAAAAGTAGAAAAAGGGCAGGGGATGTAGCTCAGTGCAAAGACCCTGGGCAAAATAAAGAAATAATGGTACTTTTCCTGTTTACCAAGGAAAAGGTTAATATTTTTAGGTAGAATTTTTCAGTTCCACTTTCTCTTTCTGTGGAGTTTTCTTGAATATGTAGCATGCCCAAGCTCTGTTGATAAATGAACAAATCTCAGATTAAACTGAAAATGAGTGGCACCCTTTTCTCCCTGCATTTGTGTTTTTAAGTTTCAGACTCCAGAGTTGTTTTTCGTCTGTGAGAGGAAGTCACCTCCTGGAATATTGTGGCATCTGGTGCTTTTCATGTTAGCAACCAGTGTCCCACAGCAGGGGTTTTCAGGGTTTTCTTGGCAGGGAAACCCTTTTTCCAAGTGAAATCTTAGGTGTGATCCTAGAATGTAAATGGGAAGTGGTACTTCATATCTGAGAGTTTATTTCTTAAGCTGAGGTCTCTTGTCTTTATAATAGAAAGCATAACCAGTAACCTGGAGCTCAAACTGGATCCATGTAATGTAGGAGTAAACTCTGCTGCTCACTCAATTGCCATGTGATCTTGGGTAACTTCTCAACCTCTCTGGGTCTGTTTCTTTGTAAAATGAGGATGCTAACAGTGCCTGCCTTAGAGGTTGCTGTAAAAGTGGATAAGGATGTATAAAACACATAGGTTAGTGACTGGCACACATGCCAAGCTCTGAACATAGAGCAGTCTCCAGAAATCTGCCCTTGGTAATGGGCAGTATGTTCTAAGACCCACTACCTGTCTAATGACCCCGGAGAGTGTCATATCTTATGTAGGCTATGTTTTTTTCCTGTTTATACATGTCTGTGATAAATTTTCATTTATGTTAGGCATAGAAAGAAATTGACAGCAATAACCAACTATAGATCTTAGCAGCCTCAGCATATGTTTTGGGTTTTATTTATTTTTTTTTTTTTTTCTTTTCCTTTTTCTTTTTTTTTTTGTACTGGGAATTGAGCTCAGGACCTTGTGCTTACCAGGCGAGTGCTGTACCACTGAGCTATATTCCCAATGGGTTTTATTTTTGTTTTTGTTTTTTTCTTTCTTGAGTTACTAGGGATTAATTCTAGGATAGTCACACTGAGCTAAATCTTTAGCCCTTTTTTATTCTGAGACAGAGTCTCAGTAAGTCATTAAATTTCCCAGGGTGGGCTCCAATTTGCAGTTCTCCCGCTTCAGCCTCCCAGAGTGCTACATTTCTTCTTTCCTTAAATTGAGAGTTTCTACTTTTACTTAAAGGGAGCATTTTGTGGCTTTCCTTTGGTATAGTGAAAGTGCCAGCATTGGTACTCTTGGCCTAGGGCCATTATTAAAATAAGGGTGACTTGCTAGCCATGGTGGCCCACACCTGTAATCACAGCACTGGGGAGGCTGAGGCAGGAGGATTGCCTTGAATTCAAGGCCAGCCTGGGATACAAAGTGAGTTTAAGGCCTGGCTGAACTAGGTAGCAAGACCCTGCCTCAATAAAATAAAATATAAAAAAAGAACATAACATAAGATAATAAAACAGCCAGGGATATAGCCCAGCAGCACAAGCGCCTTCTTGGCAAGCACAAAGTCCTGAATTTGATTCCTGGTACCAAAAAAAAAGATAATAAAATAAAAGTGACTTGAACATAAGCACACTGATAACTGAGTTGCTATCAAGTGACTAAGTCATACAGAGTAGATACATTGGCTGAATGAGTTCTGTCCTGCATGGGATGGGAGGGTAAGATTTCATTATACCATTTGGAGCAGCATGAAGTTTAAAGCTGATGAGTTATTTGTATCTGGAATTTGCCATTTAATATTGTTAGGCTGATATTTACCAACGATAACTGAAATCCTGGGGTGCAAAACCGCATGTAAGGGGGGGCCTATTGTATATAGTAAGTTGGTGAAGTCAAAGTGTCAGAGTGATGATGGTCATCTCCTGTTGGTTTTCCATGCTTCTCATTTATTTATTTGTCTTGGTTGCACATTGAATTAAGACAGTTTTGTTTATGTAGATAAGTAGCTGTGCCACATTTTAAAACAGCTTAACTTGGAAATCTCCGGATACTTTTCAAAAAGTTGATGCAGAAGTTTGAAGATGTGCTGTAGATCCAGCTGAGGTGGTACATGTCTGTAATCCAAGCTTTCTTGGAGGATTGGAAGTTGGAGCCTAACCTAGGTAACTTAGCTAGACCCTATCTCAAAATAAAAAATAATAAAAAGGACTGGGTCAGTGTGAAGGCCTTGAGTTCAGTCCCCAGTACTGCAAAAAAAAAAAAAGGCAATCAACTGTGGACATTGGTGTCATAGCCAAATCACTAGCAGCTGTTTAATTAATGAAATATTTACAGTGAATTCAGAATTTCTTATAAAAGTAAGTTAGACACAAATCATCTGAAACCCCTAAGTTCCAGCAGCGTGCACCATCTCTGACTTCTCAAACCCTGTGGTGGGCAGGCTGCCTGATCTTACTGTGCAGTGAGTCCGTGGTGTATGCTTGAGGCACGCTGCATGCCCAGCCTCCAGGAGCAGTGTGCCTCAGAGTGGAAAGGGCCCTCAAGCCTGCGTGGTCCTCTTTGATAGCACATTTTAAGAAATTCTTACATCTAGTAATCTGAGCAACTTAGTTGAGGATAACAATATATAATATAACAACCACTGTTAATTCCTATCATTTTGTTTTGCACCCTGTATCATTTTTAATGTTTTTGCTTTGTTTTGTTTTTGTCTGTGATATGGGTGTTTTGCTATTGTTCTTTTTTTTACTATTTAAAAGAAAAAAGAAAGAAATTTACTTATGTGCTCCTGTGGGCTCATCTGCTGTTGTTTCTGGCAGCTTGCATCTTAACAACAGGCTGGACTTTGTTCCTCTTTTGTTGTAGCAGTTTCCTGTCCTGAGGGTGAGGAAGAAAGTGCCCAGTGCAGCAGTCTGCCATCCTGTCCTCTTCCTCCTCCTTGGCCCTCAGTGAAGACCCTGGGGAACTGGGCCATGAGCAGCTGCCTCTTGTGGGCAAGCTCACTGTTGCTTAGCAGGAGCAGGAAGCTGATGTAAGGATAGTTGTTTGAGGGTCTCTGGTTAGGAGTGGTGTCCTCCCAGTGTGCCTCCCTCCGGGGACTCTGGGAGCCCAGGGAAGGGCTGCTTGTCCTGGTTCTAGCCACATACAGATCTGAGAGCACCACAGAAAGGTCCAGGTAACACAGTTGGACAGAATCTGATGTCTAGTGTTATAGAAGTATAAAAGAGTGTGTGTAGAAAGTCAGCTTGACTCTTGATTTAGAAACACAATTCTCTATCTCTCAGAGATAAACCTAAGGTGTATAGCTCAGCCCTGGCTCAGCCAAGGGTCTCGGGTGGTGACCAGTGTTTGTAGGCTGCGTTGTGGGCAGCCAGAGGGGAGCAGAGGGACTTGGCAGCCTAGAGGCAGATCCATGTGGCAAGAGGTGAAGCTTACCATCCCACACGCACTTGGTGGTTTCAGACATTCGATGTTGCAGTAGGGCCTTGAGATGCATAGATGATAGACTAGCAAGGGACGTTGAGAATCTGCCCAATCCAGCCATCTGCCCAAATGACAGCACAGGCCTGCAGGTGTCATCATGTCTCAGCAGCAGGTCCCATGGGCTTGCTGCTAATCCCACTCGCATGGCGGGTGAAAGCCCAGGAGAAATGGGAGGCCCTGAGGGGGAGGGTCATGGTCAGGTGGGGAAGAATGTAGGGATGGCCTGGAGTTTGGTAGAAATACGAGGCAGGTGTGGGTCCCTGATTGGTAAAACCTTTATTTAAACCAGTTTGGCAAAATTTGTTCACTTTAAATAAACATACTAGTTCATCCAGCAATTAAACTTTGTGACATGGACTCACTATGTAGTTCAAGCTGGCCTTCTCAGCTATGTAGCCCAGGCTGGTTTTGAACCTGCAACAATCCCCCTGCCTCAATCTCCCTAGTGCTGGGATTACAGGTGTGTGCCACCATGCCCAGATCCAACAATTATGCTTAAAGGCGGGGCTGGGGATTTAGCTCAGCGGCAAAGCGCCTGCCTGGCAAGCGCAAGGTCGTGAGTTCGGTTCCTGGTACCGGAGAAAAACCAAAAAAAAAATAAAAAAAAAAAAAAACCTTTTAAGATCTTTTGCCCATTTTTTAAATTAGGTTGTTTCTTGATGTCTGAGTTCCACAGTTTGGATACTTTCCCATTAATACAGCAGATTT